CTTCCCTCACCCTCTACCAGTGCCAGATGGCAAGTAGCATGGGCTACCTCTCCCCTCCTGTGGGTGAGTCTCTAACCACTAGTCACGCTTACTGTTGCTTGCTCTCTCTCTGGCCCAATGAATAATTTTCAGTGTATGTGGAACAGGTTTAACAAAGAAGGCCTGAGAGAACTGTTAGCAAATAAAAACCTAGGACTCCGGACTAGCCCAGGGATTAATACAGCACCTCATTTGATGAGTGACAGAAAGGCTTTATTTACTACTAGTATTTAAAATTAAGTTAAGTGAGCCCAAACCAAATCAAAGTCCAGTAATTAGCTATAAGGTGATGATTTTTCACCAAACAGGCAACAGAGGCAGTCTGTTTCTCTTCAACTTCTTGAGTAAGTCGGGCGCATCAGCAACTCGTGTTCCAGAGATTTCTTACTTTTGAAGCATGCACTGTTTGCTGTTTTACTGCCTTTTTATACCCTTAGTTTAGCATTTTTAAAGCATTCTGTTAGTTTTGTAAATCAAGTGAGTCCCAAGCAATAATTGATAGGAAAATCTTGTTAATCAACCAAGTAGGAACGTGATTCTCTGAGGTGGAAGTAAGCCAAGGCACAGGGATTAATGTCCCTCTTAAATAAAAAGCATACTGGAATCTGTTTGTAACAAAAAGAGACTGGAGAAATTCTCCAACAGACCATTGTTTCCCTCCTCCCTGCCATAGAAGGACTTGGTTTGAGGTCCTTTCCACCTCTACTTTTTTATGATGCTGGTTCAACTCTGACTGAAAGGGCCAAGAGCCATCTATATTCAATCACTACTAACCACCCAAAAAAACTGCATAGAAAGGAACAGGAAAACAATATTATGGATTAAATGTGTGGAAAGTGGCATCACGTCTTATGAATGTAAATAACAATCTGCCTGTCCTGATTTTTAAGAATTTACAGGTTAAAGTGTTACAGCTTGTGTTGGAAAGACATTTTGCATTTACAGTGTTTATACATCTTCTTTCAATCTACATTCCCCTGTCAGCTACGACAACTTTTATACTATGACTGGACAGCATCTAGGCTTGCTAGGTGCCATGATAACGCAATAACAATTAATACATTAAATATAAGGTGAACTGTATTGTTAAGAGTGAATACAATTATTTAGCAAATAACATATCACAAGTTTTACAATTTACATGTTTCAAGCAGATTTGATTCTCCCTCCAGTCACTCCTTTTCTCTCATCATCTGCTTATTCTTTATCTGTAATTGCCTATGATTGCATCTTGAACAATCTGAGTACTCTTCAGTTTATGGGAGCCATATACAAATTTTGACCTCAAATGTTTGTGTGTGCATGCTTGTGTGTCTATTATTTTTGCTTCTTTTATATCAGGAAAATAGTATAGGACACCTGAGTAACACACACAGGCCTGTGTGGATAAACAGGTGAGTCTGTTTCTGGGCATGGTGGCATGCATCACTGCTCGGGATTGCATAGGAAAAGAATTGCTCGGTTGTGAGCTCTGGGTCATTCTGTCAATGAAAATCATGATTCTTCTTTAGAAGTCTTTTCTTTTGTAACTTTAAGGACCAAATCCTATTTTAAGTGCTATCATGATCACTTGGTTGGCATAGTTTAATCAGAGACAATCCAGCTGTGAGCAGGGGGCTAGACTAGATAACCTCAGGAGGCTCCTTCCAGTCCTGCTTTCCTATGATCCATTCAGTTCAGAACTTCCAGCCCTACATTCCTGTGATCCTATGACCCTGTGAAGTTCTGAATTGCCATGGCATGAAGCACTGTGACAGCTATCTAATGCTAAAAGACAAGATATCTGCTGCTTTAACTGGATATGGGAAAAAATAAGGATCATTCAGTCAAGGACTGTCTTCCCTTTGGCCTGGACTCACCATTCTGTTTCTCCTCTGTTCTACTTAATGCTGTTATGGAATTGTGGCAACTCTGATCTTGATGCCAAAACATGTCCTGGATTTCTGTAGTGTGTCTCAAGGACCTGAGAAATCTCCGTAATGCCTGAAGCCAGGTTGGTGTTTTTCCCACTTTGCAGTCAAGATGGGGAGAGTGACTGATCTTGCCTCCTCTCTTCCTACATAACTTTCATTCTTCCCTCTATGTGGAAGAAGGGTAGTTTTCAGGGTATTTTCAAGAGCTGGACAGCGAACATATTAATCTGGCACAACTAGCTTAGTAATAACAAAGCTGCTTACATCAGCTCTACACTAGAAACTTTTGCTAGTATAACAATGGCAGGTGTGCAATTTTTTGTAATATTTCCAGGCCTTCAATAGGTGCTACCTGTGGCCATGTCAACCTCCCAGCCCCTAAGGCTGGGGCCACCTGTCCATGGAGTGCTTTCCCCACACACTGGAGTACATAGTCTAACTATTTACACAGTTTATTATTTACAAAACAGTCAACATATGAATGAGATTAATAGCAAAACAGGATATCAATAATTTAATTGTCAAAGGCAGGTATCAATGAAGTAAAACATTGTACAAATTGAATCAAAGACACCCTCAGTACAACTCCCCAGCTTAAACCTTGATACTCCAGTGCATTTCAGCAG